GTATATTATGCGTACATGCAACACGATCACCATATCAGTCTCACCATATCACACATGCGTTTCTCCACCAAGCTAAAATAACCCTCACGCTTCAACAAATAAAAATTAGAACCATCCCATCTCCCTCAGACTGACCGCGATGACTCCCGAAAGCAAGAAACCTGAACGCAGAACTCCCGAAGGCAACAGAGAGTCATGGCAGAGTCAGCTGGCGAGTCCTGAGGAAAGACTCGCTTCGCTCCTTCAGTGTAACAGACTCACTGACCTTACCATCACCTTCCCTGGGCACAAGAGGGTCATGAAGGTACACGCACCTTTCATTCGAGTGCATCTGTATGGCTTCCATAGGCAGTCTTGCAGTTCTGGTTTTGCATGATGTCGAGATTGTTAATGGTTATTCAAAGCTGTCTGGTGTTTGCGTATCAAGTATAATGTTCATGTATTTTGAGCCTTTAGTGTATAGTTTGATAAATAAGTAGCCAGTGTGAATTGTAAGGTACAGCTACTTAGCAGACATTGCTTAAAGTTTTATAGTACTCACTATACTCACTAACGCCTATGCAAGTATTCTTTAAATTAATTTCGTGTTAATGATGATGAGAGTAATGATAATATGGTTATGTTAGTCTTGTTAATGTTTGTTGAATTTCAAATTCTAAAGATAGCGTTAATGTTTATCTCGCTATCATTACCATTACAACAAGCATTAGTATATACTGTCGATACAAATACTGTTAGTGTCAATCATCACACCAACATGAATGCCAGTCCCAACACTAATATAACGACGACTAATAACGCCTCAGGCCCACCGCCTCGTGCTGGCCATGAGCTCCCCCGTTTTCGAGGCCATGCTCTTCGGGCCCCTGGCGGAGCTTCAGGGCCGCGTGCTCCACCTTCAGGACGAGTCTCCCGAAGCCTTCAAGTGCCTGATGCAGTACATGTACCTCGGGCGCATCGCTCTGCCTGGCGTGGGTGTGGCGGTGGAGGTCCTGCGTCTCTCCCGGAGGTACCAGATGGCCGGGTTGTTCTCCTTCATCTCACAGGTAGTGAATGACACGTGATGCAGTGTAGTGTTGTGTATCGGGGTAGATTGCTATGGGGGTTTTTGAATCGGGATTTGCGAAGGCTTGAGTGAGATTTTTGGCATTAGTAGATGAATATGGGGAGATAAATACGATGTGTATTTGAGGATATTTGGTGGGGATAAAAAGATAGATAGATAATATCTTTAAGATATCTGCGACATAGGGTTAACTATTGTTCTTTTGGGTGTTTAAATGCCTAAAACTCTTGTATTTGTAAAATATACAAAATATGATTTTAAATTTCAGTATAGGTCACATTTATAATATATTTACAGGCACACACATAGGACTAAAATTATGGCGTTTTCAAGTTTATTACCGAGGACGAAGCGGTATAACAAAACAAAAACAAATTACAATAAAGTAAATATACCAATATCAAATATATAACTAAATAAACTAACATTCTGTCCTTTGCACAGTTCCTCCAGATCAACCTCAACTTGTACAACTTGCCCGAAATCTACGATGTGGCCCTCCATGTATCCGACACGCCTCTCATTTCGAAGTGCTCCCAGGTAAGCAAACGAGTTATTTTTGATGTTGATTTGAATGTGATTACACGTTTTGATAGTTTTGCAAGATGACGTAGCTAGGCGTTTGGGGTCATGGGGGCTAGATCCTATGAGGAGTCCTATACTTTTCTATTTTCGGTGAGAAATGTGTTTACAAACTGGAAAAATCGCACACACACACACACACATACATAAAAATATATGTATACTTACTACTTATTATTTATTTAGTTTTTGTCAGTCGTGATTCAAGGGAGGCGGCTCTCTTTTGCGGAGGCCCTAGCAGCTGTTAATGATATTCATTGTTGATGATTAGTACGTTATCATGCTTCTTGAGGATTTCCATGCTGACGCTTGTTTGTTTAGATAAATATAGGAGAGAGAGAGAGAGAGAGAGAGAGAGGAGAGAAGGAGAGAAGGAGAGAAACGCGAGAAACGCGAGGGAGGAGAGAAAATGCAAGATAGGAGAGAAAACGCGAGAGAGGAGAGAAAACGCGAGAGAGAAAGAGAGAAAAAGCGAGAACGAGAAAGGAGAGAAAATAAGCGATATATATATATATATATATATATATATATATATATATATATATATATAGAGAGAGAGAGAGAGAGAGAGAGAGAGATAAAGTTAGGGAAAAAAGAAGAGATTTTAAGAGTCCCCCCTTAAATATCTTCACAACAAACATTTCCCGTTTTCTATATCGTCACGAAAACAAGGTTCTCGTAAATAGTAATTTATCATCCGTTGCTTCATATACTCCAAAACTTCAAATAATAAAAGGTATATGAAGTAAAACAAAGGTTCCAGATCATATCAACTTGACGTTTTATTGTGAAAGTCGAATTCTGTTTGTTTTCATTTGCCTTTCACGGAGTTTGACATTAAACTTTTATAACCGGAGAACCCTTGTTATTTTTACGGATTTTGCAACATGGTTTATTGTATATATATATTGTCATTATTGTCTTTATAAGCGCTGTTGTTTGTTGTTACTGCTGCTGCTATTGTAGTAAGTATCGTTATTATAATTATCACCAGCATCATTATTGTTACTATCGTCATCATTATTATCATGATCATTATTATTATTATTGTTGTTGCTAATATCATCATTATTATTATAATGGTTACTATGGTAATCACTATTATATTATTATTATATTGTTAATGTTGTCATGCATTACTATTACTATTATTATTATTATTATCATCATCATCATCATCATCATCATCATCATCATCATCATCATCATCATCATCATCATCATCATCATCATCATCATCATCATCATCATCCTTATTATTCGTTAATATTATTAATGTCATTGATATCGTTATTACTGTTGTTTTTGCTGTCATTATAATCATCATCATTATCTTTTGTTAGGCCGATTTTTACACCCCGACTACCTTCACTAATTTCGGGTACTGATTTCGTTCACATACAACATACACCCGCAAATCGAGCGTGAATGTGCCTTACATTTTCTCGGTAGAGATGTAGATACAAATGTGGATGTACCGTATATATAAAACGTTATGCGAATAGAAAGAAGTATGCACATGCGGGTTGGGAAATATGTATGGAATAAATTCACCGAGGATATACAGTAGGCACTAGTGAGTATGTGAACGAGGTACGGTATCACGGTCTTTTTGTTTATGTTGCCGTCAGTCTTTTATGGAGTAGGTCAGGGGGCCACAGTGGAAGCGTCCCCTTTATTTAGTCCAATGCGTAATAGTCTATGCTGATACTCATGGTTGTTGACGGTATTAATAGAGGTGAGGTTGTTTGAAGGTTTGGCTGACAAGTAGGCAGGGTCAAGTGAGCAGCTATGATATTTATGTGAAGCGATTCATATGGTTGCACCGAGATCGATGTATAAGCACGAGCTTTTGGCTGATTTTGCTGAATATTTATATCAGTATACTGAAAATTATTCCCTATATTTTTACGTTTTATCTAGAAGAATGAGCGTGATAAAATCGTTCCCTTTCCAAATGCAAAATTGAAAAAAAAAACATCCACATGCAGATACCTGTACAACAATGAATATTTTACAAGGGAAAGCATATTTCTTTCCCCTTAATAATACACACATCTAAAGAAGTAAACACTAACCAAGTGATTCGTTTTACAGTTTGTGCGGAAATCGCCGACTCACCTCCTGACCTCAAACGTAAGGTTTTTGAGCCGTCGCGTGTTGGCCCACATCATGGCGCAACCTATCAATATCACTGAAGTTGAAAAGTTTGCTGCGGTGTTGACGTGGTAAGCATAAACAAGAGACCTTAAACATCTGAGAAAATGTATATATCTGGTTCATCCCGTTCGCATATTTCAAGCTTTTCTGTAATAAACGTTAAGGATTAAGACGAATGTTTCTAACACTCGGGAATGAATCGCAGGGGACGCAGCCAGCTCGAAGCTCGGCAGATGAAGGAATCGCCGGAGAACCTGCGCCGCGCCATTGGAGACTTCCTCCCGCAGATGGAGATCCTGACCATGAAACCCGACGACTTCGTGGACTGCGTGGCGCCGACCGGCATCTTCACGAGGGACGAGAACATGGCTATCCTCCTCAACATCAAGCGCGTCCCGGGAGTGCCTCTTCCCTCGGCCTGCGTGAAGACCTCGAAGAAAGCTCTCCAGGACGAACGCCAACTCAAGTGCGTCCACTTCGACTTCAACCGCCACGCTCGCCAGGGCTCGATCCGCGTGCACAGCCACCAGGACCAGACGCTCCTGGCCAACCTGAAGGCGTCCAAACCCGTCCAACTGAAGCGCGTGTTCTGCGACCACATCGCCTTCCACGAAGCCACGGCCACGGTCAGAGGGGCGTGCGGACTGGTGCAGCAGACGGTCACAAGCGAAGGACCGGACGGCTTTTTCCCCACGCCGGTCACCCTCCGTCCTGGCATGTCCTGCACGATCACAGTCAAGACGAAGGGCTTCTGTTGCCCCCTGATGCACAGCTTCTCTCTGTGGCATGACGGGATCAGGTTCGAGGGCCAGCGACCTTTCCTCAAGGCAAAAGGTCCGATGCTCTATTTCTGGAGTTTAGAAGACACTCCGGAATAAGACGGAGCTTTGACGTCATGATGGCAGTCCCTGTCTACACCAAAAAATAATTGGACAGCGAGACGTCCCAGCAACAAGATGAACGGAATGTATTATCATTTTCTCTACCGTAGTCTATTTCCAGTGATTTGAGACTGAGTGTGATTTCACTCTTCTATATTATTTTCATTTGGGAAGTACATTGCAAGGGCAGTGCGAGTACTTTTTTGTTTGAAAGAATTATATATCGTGGTCATAAACAACTTCACTCTAACTTTCTCAATATACCTATCAATCTATATATTTTTTTTTTTTGTTGCATTCACCAGGGTATC